GGGTTAAATTTGAGAAAAACATAGTTTTTCATAACTAAAAACGTTATGTTTCCTACAAAAAGCAAACAAGTCCACATCTATCACACAAATAAGGTAATTAAAACACACAAAAAAAAATACATTGCCTTCCCATTGTAGCTTAATGCACTACCATCAGTTCAACTTCCCATTAAACCATTTGGTTGATTTACTAAAGGTAAATACTCTGTTCACTTGGCTATTGAAGTTACGCTGCATGAGAATTTTCCCCAGAGCTTAGTAAATGCGATGATACTTCACATTGCAAAGAAACCCAATATTGTACAAGTAATAAAAAACTTCATTTTTACTTGCACATGATTGGATGATGGAAGCCAGCAGAGCCTCACCTTATTCACTAAGATCTGGAGGAAATTCCTTTGAAGAGTGCAACCGATCTTGCAAAGTGAACAGCCTATTTGCCTTTAGTAACTCAACCCCTCTGTTTTAAGCTGTTCAAGCACAAAAAACACCCAAAACGATTGCTAATAGTAGTTTTCCTGGTAGAGTTGAAGAATTTTTTTACCTACCAGCAATCAAGTACAGTAACAAAGTCTGACGGACAGCCAACAGGAATCTACCACATACAATGATTGACATAGTGATCAGGTAAAATTATTCCCATACCTGTTATTTTTTCTACAGTGTATCTCTAAGAAAATAGTGCTTTCTTCATGGCATAACCGTTTAACTCAACTGCAGTGATTTTGCCACAAATTGGGGCATATAACTGACAAAATCAAGAACAAAGAACCTTGAAAACCTTTTGAAACATTAATAAATATGACAACTGATAACTTATTTACAAGTTCTACAGAACTAAGCATCTCTCTTCAAAGCACATCAAGATTATGTTACCAAACTATAAAATAAGCACTAAACACACAAATTTTCAAATCATGACATATCATCAACACTTAAAAGAAAACGACTGTTTCTATGGATCTATTATTTCCCAATGTTGCTTCTATATCTCCGAAACAAGTATTGCTGCAAGGCACTGGAGTTAAGGCAGCTTTATACAGAGAAGTAAATATTTTAGGTCAACATCTCTCGTTTCACAAAAAAATGAAATTATGAGTTCTGGCAGTACAATTAGTAAAACTTTTGGCCTAATGCAGAGGTTTCCAAACTTTCTAAACAAAGGGCCAGTTTACTGTCCTTCAAAATTTAGGGGGGAAAGTCTGTGGCCAGTGAATGTAGAAAATGGACCAATGTCAATGGGAGAAAATAATGCCTTGGGCTTGGTGGTCAGTGGGAGTAATTTACAATTACCACATCTGTGGTCAGTAGAAGGAGGAATAGTGCCCCATCAATGAAGTCAGTGTAATGAATAGTGCCCCATCATTGCAGTCAGTAGAAAGAATAGTGCAACCACATTGGTGTCAGTGGGAGGAATAGTCCCCCATCATTGGTGTCAATGGGAAAATAGTGCCCCATCATTGGGGTCAGTGAGAGGAACAGTACCTCATTGTTGGTTTCAGTGGGAGGAAAGTATCTGTGGTCAGTAGAAGGAGGAATAGTGCCTAATCATTGGAGTCAGTGAGAGGAATAATATCCTATCTTTGGTGTGAGTTTGATGAATAGTGTTATATCTATTATATCACTGGGAGGAATTACACCCCATTTTAGGTGTCAGTGGAAGTAATAGTTCCTCATCATTGGTGTAAGTGGGAGGAATAGTGTTCCATCCTTAGTGTTAGTGGAAGGAATTATACACCACTGTCAGTGACAGTGGAATGAACTGCGCCTCATCACTGGTGTCAGTGGAAGGAATAGTGCCTCGTATCAGTGAGAAGAATAGTATCCGAGGGCCAGATAAATGCAAGCAAAAGGCTGCATTCGGCCCACAGTCGGCATTTTGGAGACAATGGGTTAGTGCATTAGATCCTGTTCATATGGTGTCATTATTCTGTGCAGTTGGTATATTCCTTTTAAAAGATTTAAAGACCTTAACCAGTCCTTAGATGTGGAAAGGGACAACATACTATATTGTCAAAAGTATTGGGACACCCCTCCAAATCATTGGATTCAGGTGTTCCAATCACCTCCATGGCCACAGGTGTATGTTATTATTGTACACTTGTAATGCTATGGAATCCATTACTAACCCACTGAGCTTCTTTGCTACACATATGTTATGACAATTGACAGCAAGAGAAAAATTTTCATGTCTATTTTATGTTTGTTTTTTTAACCACTTGCCGTCCTGGGCAATTTTGACATTTTTCACGTGCATGTTAAAATCAGGATATTTTTGCTATAAAATACCGTAACTCAAAACCCCCAAGCATTATATGTTTTCTGAAAGCAGAGCCTCTGGAGAAACAATGGTGGCTGTTGCAATTTTTTGTTACACGATACTTGTGCAGCTGCAAATTTTCAGATAAAAATACATTTAAATGAATTTTAGTGCATACAAGTACAATAAAATAGACAATGTTTTGGTAAAGTTTAAAAAGATAATGTGGAATTGAGTAAATAGATACCAAACATGTCAAGATTTAAAACTGCATGTGAATTCACCTGTGAAATGGCGACAAACTATATTACCTAAAATTATCCATATGTGATGTTTTAAAATCCAAAGCCTTTACAAATGATCAGTTTAGAGTTAAACAGGAATCATAAATTCAATCAACTTTATTGCTATCACAAGGGGTAAAAAACACTCCTTGTGATAGCTTGGGCAGTGACAGGAACTCTTCATGGGGAGATCCGTGATCTAGTAGAGCCCTGATCCCTTCTCCACCCTCCAAGACAGCTGATCAAACAGAGATCACTTTTTTTTAAATTTCATTTAAATGTATTTTTTAGATCTCTAAACTTTACTGCTGTCGCAAAAAGGAGAAAAACACCCCATGTAATAGCTTGGGCAGTGACAGGTACTTTTTACGGGGAGATCAGAGATCTATCAGACCCCTTATCCCTCCTCTGCCCTCCAAGGCATTGGAATCCTGACGTTAATCAAACGGCCGTGCATTCAAATCTGCCATAACCTTGCCTATTGTAATAGTATGTTCAATAACATTGCTTTAAGACTACACTCTCTGTGCACATTTCAAGTTAATGCCTTACTCTAGCTAAATTTTCGTTTTAAGTCTTGGAAAAAGTGGAGAAGAGTTAAAATTTCTTTTTGTAACCTCACTGAGATTTGTCCTCACTTCCCTTCCATGTGACTGCCACACAAAGAATGGGGGCAGTGGCTGTCACTGGGACAGAAAGGTAAAGACAGAAATAGAAACTTTGTCAGAAGATCTAATCTTTCCCCACTATACTAAAATTAGTTTTTTACAAAAAGGAGGGAACCAACCGCAGGGATCAGTCAAGGGAGCCGGCCCCGCCACCTGCGCAGACTTGATTAGAAGTGGGGAGAGTTGGCAGCAGTCGGAGACATGTCCAAGAGGAAGCAGGCCAAGCCACGATCGGTGAAAGGTTAACCTCTAATATTGGAGGAGAGATAGGATGTATCCAAGTACCTAAGACCATTTATAACTTAACGGTCTACATCATCTGGTAAGGGGCCCTCTAATAGTGTCACTTGGTGGTGGATGAGCACTTTGTTCAGCAGGACGTTGAAGTGTGGGGACACTCTTCATATAATTTGGATTGAGAAAGGACTTTGCTTTAAATTTTTTTCCCTTTGGGACTTTATATTTCACTTATTGAGATATATATATATATATATATATATATATGAATTTAATTCCTTGGTGTATGTTTTATTCATATATAGGATGCTAATTAAATACACTTGATATTAATGCGATTTAGCACTGCTTTTTATATTTTTATTCTAACTACTGGTATCACAATTGCTTATTGGCTGCTTTTTCTTTTAAACACTCCAAAGCAGATTTTGTTTACTTTTATGTTCTTACTTTTTTGTCTGTGTCCCACATGCTGAGTTTTCATCTCACTTACCGTCCTGACAGGAACTGACTAGCCAAAGGGAACTCACATGGCAATAAAAACCTGACAAAGGCTCTATCCCTCGCCTACTCTCCTCCACATAATTAAAACGTTTCACTAGAGTTGGGCTTTACAACAGAACTGACCCCCCCCCCCCCCAAAAAAAAAAAAAAACTCTGACAAGTAGGGTTTTTCTGACAGAAGAGATCCTATTGGTGCTTCTCCCTGTCTATTAGAGGTAATGCACATGTAATGTAATGTGTATTGTTATTTAGAGCACCCCCTGTGTGGCGCGATGATGTGACTCTCATGCGCATGCATAGGAGTGATGTCATTTCTGCCCAGCCATTCCAGTAGCTGAACAGACCAAATCCAGAAGGGATGCCAAGAGAAGATGGGAGCACCCGTGACAGCGGACAGCTCTGACAGACCAGCGCTGGAGGGCATTGTTTGACAGGTAAGTTTGCCATAATGTGCTAATATACAGTGCATACTAGCACATTATGGCATAAAGCTCCAGGGGGTGGGGGTGGGGGACACTTATAATAAAAAACAAAAAAAATGCAGAGTTTAAGTCCACTTTACCTTCCAATCTTAAGATTGTAAGCTCTAACAAGCAGGGCCCTCTGAATCCTCCTGTATTAATTTGTATTTTAATTGTACTGTCTGCCCTTTTGTTGTAAAGTGCTGCATAAACTGTTGGCGCTATATAAATCCTGTATAATAATAACTGTAAAAATGTACACATTGTTGAGATGTTCTTTTCAGGCATACAGAATGACCATAAACAAAAAAAACTAACATGAACAAAAGCATAAACTACAATTGAAGGCATAATGCACACCTTTCTGTAGTATTTCTTCCTTCATTAAGATAAAGCTTAGGGACAAAAAGTGTACTATTATCCTGGAAACCAAATTAGTCTATGAACAAATGTGAAAAAACGAGGTGTGGAAAAATGATAAATTAAGTCTCCATTCTACAGAAACTCTCACAGAATACGTAAACATATTCAAGGGATTAAATTATGTGGTTGTCAAATATTTTTAGCAAAGGATCGGTACTCCTACCTTGTTCACGTTGTTGATCTTTCTGCTCCATGGACACCAGTGCTGAAAAGTGAGCTTGATCATAGGCCAGGACCAGTGGTGAGCAGTGACATCTATTAGGAGGGACTTCAAGGGGTAAATAAATTCCACCAAATGGGATAGGTGCAAAGGCTGGAAAAGCAGAATAGATTTATAAATACAGTGCCTCGAAAAAGTATTCAGACCCCTTGAAATTTTCCACATATTGTCATGTTATAACCAAAAACGTAAACGTATTTTATTGGGATTTTATGTGATAGACCAACTCAAAGTGGCACATAATTGTAAAGTGGAAGGAAAATGATAAATGGTTTTCAACTATCTGAAAAGTGTGGCGTGCATTTGCATTCAGCCCCTTTCAGTCCTCCTGTGTGGGTAAATACAACTGCTCTGTGAAGCCCTCAGAGGTTTGGTAAAGAACATTAGTGAACAAATAGCATCATGAAGGCCAAATAACACACCAGACAAGTCAGGGATAAAATTGTAGAGAAGCTTAAAGCAGGGTTAGGTTATAGAAAAAAATCCCAAACTTTAAACATCTCACGGAGCACTGTTCAATTCATCATCTGAAAATGGAAAGAGTATGGCACAACTGCAAACCTACCTAGACATGGCCATCCACCTAAACTGACAGGCCGGGAAAGAAAAGCATTGATCAGAGAAGCAGCCAAGAGACTCATGGTAACTCTGAAGAAGCTGCAGAGATCCACAGCTCAGGTGGGAGAATCTGTCCACAGGACAACTATCTGGCCTTCAGGAAGAGTGGCAAGAAGAAATCCATTGTTGAAAGAAAGATATAAGTCGTCCCATTTGCAGTTTGCCAGAAGCCATATGGGGGACACAGCAAACGTGGAAGAAGGTGCTCTGTTCAGATGAGACCAAAACTGAACTTTTTGGCATAAAAGCAAAACGCTATGTGTGGTGGAATACTTCAGCAGGGACATGGAAGCTGGTCAGAGTTGAAGGGAAGATGGATGGAGCCAAATACAGGGCAATCTTAGAAGAAAACCTGTTAGAGTCTGCAAAAGACTTGAGACTGGGGTGGAGGTTCACCTTCCAGAAGGACAACAACCCTAAACATACAGCCAGAGCTACAATGGAATGGCTTAGATCAAAGCATATTCTTGTGTTAGAATGGCTCAGTCAAAGTCCAGACCTAAATCCAATTGGGAATATGTGGCAAAACTTGAAAATTGCTGTTCACAGATGCTCTCCATCCAATCTGACAGAGCTTGAGCTATTTTGCAAAGATGAATGGGCAAAAAATATCACTCTCTAGGTGTACAAAGCTGGTAGAGACATCCCCAAAAAGACTTGCAGCAGTAAATGCAGCGAAAGGTGGTTCTACAAAGTTTTTCAGATAATTATTTGTAAATAATTGTGAAAAACATTTATCATTTTCCTTCCACTTCCACTTCAAAATTATGTGCCACTTTGTGTTGGTCTATTACATAAAATCCTAATTAAATACATTTATGTTTTTGGTTGTAACATGAAAAATGTGGAAACTTTCAAGGGGTATGAATACTTTTTCAAGGCACTGTAAAGCTGTGAAGCTATTTCTGTAGGTCAAATGTTATTTAAACAGTTACTAAATACAAGCTGCAAAGAAGTTTGGAGCTAAAATAACAAATTATCTGTGTTGGACATAACAACCAATCAGACTCCAGGTTTCATTTTCCCAGAAAAAGTTAGAAAATAAGAGCTAACATCCAACAGGCTGCTAGGGGCAGCCATATAGCAGGCATCAGTCAGCCCATAATTATAAACCTACATGTCTTTGACAAGAACAAGGCAAATTAAAGTTTCAATATTTAGCAGACAGGGAATTCCAATCGAAAGATATAAATAGGCCTTTTCACTGTATAACCCCAAGCACCGTCAGCTCAAATACATCATAAGCAGTCATTTCTCAAGGACAAATGCCTATCTATCTCTGTTCCTACATGACAAAGTGCCACATGCATTTTGGATAGAAAGATGGTTAGAAAAAATGTTGTTCTTTCTAATGAATTTTCTGGTGGTCAAAGATGAAGAACAAAGTTACAAGGAAAGTCACCTCTGTGATAAATGTAAGTACCGTTTCAAGGTAACCTTCATAATTCATGGTTATTTCAGTAGTATTGTCCTAAGCTCTTGACAGTCCACGTAATGTTAACTGTTGGGCAATGAGCCGAGACATCTTATTTCCAAACAAAAGCCCATGTGATTTCCACAGTTGGCCCAAACTATTAGAAAAGCCTTAGGATGATATTTTCTTTCCTGCAGCCATGGGTTGCAGGAAACAAAATTGCATGATTCCCCCATCAGCACAGTCAGTGTTGATGGAGGAAAGCCTCCCACAGAGCTATTGGGTTCTGCAGTTCTCTGTTAGCAGAACACGATTACTGCTAACAGCTATAGCCGCCAGCAGTGATTGCATGCTAGAATTCCGGCAGGCTGGTTGTACTGAAGTTGATCAATAAATTGACTTCAGTTCCATCAGCCTGCACATAGATGGATCGAATCTCAGGTGGTCCCTGCTGAACGGGTCCCTCTATGGCCGGCTTTACCTGATTCTTTCTTCAGTGCTCTAATCCTTTATCTTCTTGCTTCATCTTCAACTGCACAGAATTCACACTGAACTTACTGACCCTACTCCCACTCGATTCTAGCATATTTTTCAAGTACTCTATTGGAATAAATTTGTCTGTGATCTAATATTCTTTGCGAAGATTAACAAAAGGTTAAAGGGCTGAACAAAAAAACTGAAAATTTCTTTTACATGTACCTTCTCCTCCAGAGTCACGCAGCATCGTATCGGCCACAACAACTATTGGTCTTCTTAGTATATGAGCCAGGACAAAGACATGGAATTCTTCTAAACTTTCATACACTGGATCCTCAGCATTCTCCACTCTAGGGAAATATAATTAACAAATTCAAAAACATAAATAAATAGTGTTCTGTTTTTTATTGCCTACTATTTTTTTAAATGCTAATCAGTATGTAAAATCAATTATAGTTAGTCAATTGAGTATGGGGGGGAGAAGTAACATTTTAGGATACACATACTTAGGCCCACTGTACACCCTATATCACATGTGATCTTGTATCATAAAATATTTTTTATGTGAGTATCACCTTCTGGATGCATGATGTTACTAAGATAGCACTTTTTAAAAGGCATTGGGAGTAAAATGAAATGCCTGCCACGTCTAGGAATACAAAGCATGAGACTCACTTTTTTCATCTGAGATTGCAGTGCTGGGTGACTGGGCAACTAATCAAACGTTCTTTGGCTTGTGTAAATTCTATCCAGTGACTTGGAGCTTACATTCTTCTCTTTCATCAATGGGTGAATGGAGCTGGGGGCGGGGGGGCAAAGGGAAGGTAAGTAAAAGAAAACAAAGGGAGATGCCCTCAGCTAAGTGAACCTGCTGGTTTGCCCTGCATAGACAAAGCACAGGTTCACTTTAAATTAAACTTGCTGTAAAGGAAATATGCAGGCTGTCATTGCCAACCTACTGAAATGCTAGGTGTTTGCTGCTTGTCTGTGACACAGAAATTATTAAAGCCAAACAAGCAATGCTTTCCTAATGTGTCACCTGTAACCTGGACCTTTTAGTAACTATACATCTCTGCATAAATGAATTCCTGTCTTCTAACTATATATATATATATATATATATATATATATATATATATATATTCGTACATACACAGTGGAAATAAAAAGTCTACACACCCCTGTTAAAATGTCAGGTTTCTGTGATGTAAAAAAATGAGACAAAGAAATACTTTCAGAACTTTTTTTCCACTTTTAATGTGACCTATAAACCTTACAACTCAATTGAAAAACAAACTGAAATCTTTTAGGGGGGAAGTAAACATAAAAAATTAAAACAATGTGGTTGCATAAGTGTACACACCCTCTTATAACTGGGCATGTAGCTGTGATCAGAATTAAGCAATCACATTCAAAATCATGTTAAATAGGAGTCAGTACACACCTGCCATCATTTAAAGTGCCTCTGATTAACCCAAAATAACGTTCAGCTGTTCTATTAGGTCTTTCCTGGCATTTTTCATCCTACAGCAAAAGCCATGGTCCGCAGAGAGCTTCTAAAGCATCAGAGGGATTTCATTGGTAAAAGGTATCTGTCAGGAGAAGGGTACAAAAGAATTTCCAAGGCATTCGATCTACCATGGAACACAGTAAAGACAGTCATCATTAAGTGGAGAAAATATGGCGCAAAAGTGACAATACCAAGAACTGGACGTCCCTCCAAAACTGATGAAAAGGCAAGAAGAAGAAAACTGGTCTGGGAGGCTGCCAAGAGGCCTACAGCAACATTAAAGGAGCTGCAGGAATATCTGGCAAGTACTGGCTGTGTGGTGCATGTGACAGCAATCTCATGTATTCTTCATATGTCTGGGCTATGGGGTAGAGTGGCAAGACGGAAGCCTTTTCTTACAAAGAAAAACACCCAAGCCGAGCTAAATTTTGCAAAACCACATCTGAAGTCTCCAAAAAACATGTGGGAAAATGTGTTATGGTCTGATGAAACCAAGGTTGAACTTTTTGGCCATAATTCCAAAAGATATGTTTGACACAAAAACAATACTGCACATCACCAAAAAAACACCATACCCACAGTGAAGCATGGTGGTGGCAGCATCATACTTCCGGGCTGTTTTTCTTCAGCTGGAACTGGGGCCTTAGTTAAGGTAGAGGGAATTATGAACAGTTCCAAATGCCAGTCAATATTGGCACAAAACCTTCAGGCTTCTGCTAAAAAGCTGAACATGAAAAGTAACTTCATCTTTCAGCATGACAACGACCCAAAGCATACATCCAAATCAACAAAGGAATTGCTTCGCCATAAGAAGATTAAAGTTTTGGAATGGCCCAGCCAGAGCCCAGACCTGAATCCCATTGACAATTTGTGGGGTGAGCTGAAGAGGGTTGTGCACAGGAGATGCCCTTGTAATCTGACAGATTTGGAGTGTTTTTGCAAGAAAGAGTGGGCAAATATTGCCAAGTCAAGATCAGGGGCGGACTGACAACTCATGGAGCCCCCGGGCAATAGGGGATCATGGGGCCCCTGTGTCCTTGCCCAAACTCAAAAAAGCCTATGAAAAAGGTACCAGGGGCATCTCATGGGGCCCCCTACTGACCCCGGGCCCTCGGGCAGTGCCCGAGTTTCCAAATGGTCAGTCTGCCCCTGGTCAAGATGTGCCATGCCGATAGACTCATATCCAAAAAGACTGAGTGCTGTAATAAAATCAAAAGGTGCTTCAACAAAGTAATAGTTTAAGGGTGTGCACACTTATGCAACCATATTACTTTAGTTTTCTTATTTTTCTCCACCTAAAAGATATCAGTTTGTTCAACTGAGTTGTGCAGTTTATAGGTTACATTAAAGGTGGAAAATGTTCTGAAATTATTTATCTTTGTCTCATTTTTTTCACATCACAGAAACCTGACATTTTAACAGGGGTGTGTAGACTTTTTATATCCACTGTATATATATTATATACACACACACGGAAGAGGCATGCAGAAGGAAACAGGGAGAAGGATCATGTCAGCCTCTGTATACCTCCTGTCATTGCTTGCCTTGGGAAAGTGTTCACAGTCGAGACAAGCTGTGGATATGAATCAGTTGTCTCTTTCAGACCTGTTGTCAGGTCAGCTGTGGCAGGACAAGCCGCAGTGCAGCAGTATACATAAAAATAATGGAATGATGTCAATGATGTCATCAGTCTGCTGTGTGCAGGTTGAAACATGTACCACTGTGATCGGATTGCAACACGATAACTTATTACAAAATAACAAACTGCAACAGAGGGCTGATTTGTGTCAGACATTTCTGAACACAGACACCAGAATTTAAAACACTAAGTAATCTCTGAACCAGCATCTCTGCCCAGGAAGTAGATATTGACAAAGACAAGAGGAGTGCAGAGGGAGGAGGGACATGTCGGCTTTTGCATTCCTCTTGCCATTGCTTGTCTTGGGAAAGTGTTCACAGTCAAGACAAGCTGTGGATATGAATCAGTCGTCTCCTTCAGACCTGTTACCAGATGTGGCAGGAGGAGGATGGACCTCATAACTAGGGCTGTTGAGCGGTGATTTGGCTGCAGTGCAGGTATACCTGCGATTTTCATGTGGTTTTCCATAGGCTATTAGGTCATGTATTTTCTAAAAGTGTATACCATATGCAGCATGCAGGATTTTAGGTGTTCCTTCAGAAAACGTGCCAAAAACGCATGATCCATGGGTTAATCACACAAAAAGCACGTGTGGTAGACAAGCCGCAGTGTGAAACTGGAATAAAAAAGCACTTAGAAACATGGGGACAAATGTACTATGTATTTTGTTCCAGAAGGAACAAAAGTGTAAAAAACAATTATAATGATAGATCTTCTTTAAAGTGATTGTAAATGCTTTGTTTTTCTTTTTAAATGACAAACAAGTTTAAACTTACCTGCTTTGTGCAATAGAATTGCACAGAGTGGCCCTGAACCTCCTCTTCTCTGGTCCCCGCCGGTGCTCCTGGCTCCTCCCCTCTGCTGAGTACCCCCATAGAAAGCTGCTTTCTATGGGGGCACTCTTGCGTGTTTGTTTCTGAGCCCTGCTGTCTGTATCTATTGACACAGACAGTGGGACCTGGCCCCGCCCCTCCTTACTGGCTTTGATTGACAGCCGTGGCAGATCGCAATGGCTCATGCTGCCTCAGCAAAGACAGGACCAGGAAGTGATGGCAGAGAAGAGCTGCAGACATTATTATTATTACATAGGATTTTATAGCGCCAACAGTTTGCTCAGCGCTTTACAATATAACGGGAGACAATACAGCAACAATACAGTTCAATACAAGAGAGAAAGGAGGACCCTGATCCTTGGAGCTTACAGTTCAGACATGCACACAGCCCAGGTAAGTATGGGGGGGGGGGGGGGGTTCTCACTACGTGATTTAAAAAGCGAAATTCTCACCTGATTCACTTGAATGGGCTTCCCTATGCACATTTGTTGCCCAAAAAGAAGCTCCTGCAATTTTTTTGGTTGACAATTTTCATGTGATTTTTAAAGGCGCAGTTTGCTGCACTATTCTGCCGCCAGACAAACATCACGCTTAGGGTGCCAATAAACGATAATGGTACCCAAACTTGCATCGCGTGCAGCGATTGCCACGTGATTTGGCATCGCAGGCAGAAGCAATGTGACTCTTTTTGCGATTCCAAATCGTAAAGTGTGAATGGGGCCTTAGGTATAGCGTGTTCCATATCTTTATTATCATTTTTGGAAAGAACATTCAATCTACCCAATCCCTGTACTATGTTTTTGGACACGAATAGTAAACCCCTTCTGATGTGTACAAATCGTGACACGAATGGTTGCCACAGTTCAGACAATTTGTAATTACTCTTTGCTCTATGAAATAAAGGTCTTAGTCTGAACGGCATGTACTGCTGCAGCTGCAGAGGAAGTGTCTCTCTACAACCCCAAACAGAGAGCAAAGTCAACAAGCTTTATAAAGAAAAGCATCGTTATAGAATCTGCCCACAAGCAACAAAAGGGATTCGAAGAAATGTGGCTCCATAAGCAATCCCAGCACACTGGCCTTATTCATCATATACATCCATTAGTAAACGATTTATTTTTCCCATAAGGGTATGTCTGTTTTATAATAATGCAGAACAATATTCTCCGGAGCCTGGTACACTCTTTATTACAGTTAATCTGAGGCATTTAAAAATACATTTTGCTTGAGATTTAATGAATGCATATATAATAGCTGCTGCTAAGCTAATTCTTTCAAGCAAGTGCAAATTGATTCAGAAAAAAAAAAAAAACAACATACAATCAGGAGGCAGATACTGAAAAGCAGAGCTGAGGCCAAGCAGGGTGT